CTATAGGTCCAAATTCCTTTTTACTCTTCAAAGATCTCAATCGATTTATCAGACAGCTTACCATCAAAAGATACTACCATATCCAGTGCCTTAAAATACATTCTCCTTTGTTACACAACACCCCTTTATTAGTCTCCCCCTCCTCTACCACAGAAATTCATTTTGATTCAGACGTTCTTACCACACTCCAACTACTGTACGACGACAACTTAGATGCAGAATTTGATATACTTACTCAACATCTAGTCACATCTCCACTGATCAAACACACCACCCTTAGGGCAAAATCCTATTTTTCCATTCTCATGCGAAGTGCCCCTTTGTGGAGGCTTTCTACAAAGTGGTCTACTTAGACCTTGTCAAACTTTGTAATCCCAAAATATCACCTATTCATAACCTCCATCTGTTTAAGAAAAAGCAGTACAGAACCTTAATGATATTATCAAATCTGCGGACAAGGGTGGTGGAATAGTTCTACAAGATAGAACAGATTACACAGCCGAGGCCGACAGACTACTTTCCGATTCCGCCATCTATACCAAATTGAATAAAGATCCCCTACCTGAGTTTAAACTACAGGCTAACACTCTAGTTGACTCCACCCTCTCCCAGGTCATTGTCACTAAAGTAGAAGCTTCCTTTCTACGCAGATCTATTTAGAACACACCCTACTTTTATCTTACCAAAGTGCACAAGACCTTAACTAACCCGCCCGGAAGACCTATAGTTGCATCTATAGACAGCATCACGAGCGGTTTCTCCCAGTACATAGATTTTTACAGCCACTTGCCCAATGCCTTCAGTCCTACATCAGAGATGGAACCCACCTTATACATCTGCTCACCACGTATGATTGAAATTCCATCTATAGTTGGGCCTCTCTGGATGTTTGTTCACGTTACACATCTATCCCTCACCATTTGGGACTCCAGGCCCTACAGTAGTATTTTTTATCCAGTGACCCACTCATCAATCCTAGACAAGCTGACTTTAAACTTCAAGCCACCAATTTCTGTTTAACTCATAATTACTTTCATTTCAATGGAGACTTCTATCTACAGCTCCAAGGAACTGCCTTGGGAGCCAATTTTGCACCCTCCTATGACAATCTGGCTATGGGTTATTGGGAGGACTTCTGAATTTGGCGTAACATTCCCTTTGCTGCACATCTCATATTCTTCGGACGCTACATTGACGACATCGTAGTCATTTGGGAAGGACCTCCACCCCTTATTGACGATTTTGTAGCTTACTGCAACAACCACCCCATTGGTCTGTCTTTTACATCAAAGAAACACCCCGATTGTCTGGCCTTCCTTGACTTAGAAATGAGTCATGAAAATGGGAACATTATAGCCAAAAATTATACAAAACCCACCAGCAGGGAATTCATTTTTACATTATCAGAGCTGTCATTATCCTACATGGATTAATAATATACCCAAGAGCCAATTTTGCCATCCAACAGAAATGTACAAAACAATCCGATTATATTGATCAGAGCATCACCCGTAAAAAAAAAAAATTTAGAGAGAAGGACTATCCAGAACCACTAATGGAAGACGCTTTCACCTTGTACCTACCTGGCAAAACCCAAACTATTAGACGCAATACTGAGCCCAACCATGCAGTGAGATTCACTACTAGGTACCACTGTAAACATCGAAAGATGAGAAATCTTACAGAAACACTGGAACATTCTATTAGAAGATCCCCACTTGAAAGACATTATTCCCAGCAAACCTACCATCACTTACAGGAAAGCCCCCAGTCTAAAGAATAAAATAGTTCCCAGTAAGTTTCCATTTGACCTGCTCTGGCACCGTCTCTGTTCTCCACACCCATCATTGGAAGGTATCAATGTCGGAAGTCCCTATGTAAAACTTGCGCTTTTGTCCACCATGGCCAAAAGGAATTCTGCACTAAGGGCAAGCACTACAGGCTGAATGACTTCAACTGTTCATCCAATTTTGTGGTATACTGCCTCACTTGTCTATGTGGTCTCCTCTATGTGGGCCATACCATTCGAACACTCTGCTCCAGATTCAGCGAACATTGTCGCCTTATCGAGGGCAGAAAAGGCACATATAGCATCCCTAGACATTTTGTAGAGGTCCATAACAAAAATGTACCTCAGGACTCCAAGTCTGGGTAATTCAATTCATGCCCTTTGATCTCCCAGAGGGAGAGCACTTCCACAAACTTTGCCACAGGGAGACCTTTTGGATTCACACCCATGACACACTGTCCCCTGCTGGCCTTAATGAGGAACTAGAAATCGCTACCATACTATAATAGATCATTACGCAATATACCTTTCCCTAAATTACTATGTCCCGTATACTTTTTGGTTGTACATCCAGCTCCACCACCTACCCCACCTGGGTAGGTTGGCACTGGTTAGAGCTCTTGAACGGTTTCTTATCGTGTAGATATATATGCTAGCAGCAGCATACAAAACAGTTACAGTTATTTACTTTTATTCATATGTGCCATTTATGCGTAATAAAATAATTTTGTATTAATGGAGCAGTATGCAGACCACAGATTTATCCATTCATTTTTACATTGTTATAATTGCCATATGGTTTAGTATCTATATGGTATTATTGTGCTTCAGGATTTAATTTTATTCTATTGTATGTACATTAAGATTTGTAAATTTTATCAATGCATTTATTTCTCACCCATTCAATCCTTCCCCATAATTCCCCCCCCCCCCCCCCCCACCTTTTTCCTTGTTTGTTTAGGGTTTTTTCCGTTTTATTTCTTGTTATATATTTTTCCTCTATTATTTTTCACCCATTTATTATTTTTTTACACACATTGTTTTAATTTATATTTTTCCTTTTTATTTCCTTTCTGGTGCCATTTTTACTGCTAACACCTTCCTGGTCCTTCTTTCACCTTTAAATTGTTAACCATGTTTCCTGCTCCATTTTACGTCTCTCCTTGCCCCATATAAGGCTCCTTTCCCTGTCCATGTTCTCCTTATGCTTGACAAAGGAGTGTGCATGCTCAGAAACGCCTCACACGCCATCTCCACTGCTCTGGAGCGCAAAGAAACTTGCCGGGCTTCCTCTTCCAGGCTCCTTCTCGCATTGCTCCAGCGCTCCCTGCTGTCCAGCCAAAGTCCATACAGACTTTCCAGGCTTACACTACAGGCTCCTCTGACATCTCTCCAGCGCTCCCTGCTGCCCAGCCGGCACTTGTTCTCTAGTCCAGATTACCACATGGCGTTGTGCATTGTTAACCCCTTATGAGCCTATCTTTACCATCTACATGTGAGTGGTTTTAATTATGTTCACCATTAAATACTTTTAACAGTCTGCACTCAGAGGCGCCGTTTTTCTCTTTTTGCCTACTCCAGAGTCACTTGCTTCACTCTACTACAGCCTGCCGGGTGTTTTCTGGCTATTTGTTCCCCCGCCAGCTCCTCACCTCATACTCAACTTATAGAATATGCGGACTGCGTATTCCATGCACCCAATGTTCCTTTATTATTCAGGACCCTGCATTCATTATATCTGGTCTTCCACATTACACAGAACATGAAAATGCAATTATTGTAGTAAATATAAACTGCTAAATACCTTTTCTCATCAGCAGTATATAGCAGTCTTGTGACTTCTATCAGTGTCCGGCAGAGCACTGAAAGTTCTCATTCTGCTCTGACTGTTCTATGAGGCTTCATGGCCCCTGACCCTTTGTCTGGACAGAGCTGATCTCATGCACAATCTCAAAGAAAAAAAAAAAAAAAAAAAGACCCTAGCCATATACACTAAACTGAGCATGTGCAGAGTGACTCCTAGGGGTCGGTACTATCAGCAGATGGAAGTTAGAAGAAGGGTAGGATCAGAGAGGACAGGATCAAATAGTCTTTTTACACAATGTTGAGGATTAACCCCTTTGGTTCCACAGCCAGTATAACAAGCATGCTTTACCGCATATACAGATGGATTTTACGGTTGTGGGTTTGGTAACACTTTAATGGTATTTTGGTGCATAGCGAAGCTGGATTTTAGAAAATAGAAAAGTGAACTTAGCCTTTAAAGTTTTACTAAAGGCTAATATTTTATTTTAGTTTTGGACAGAGTGCAAAGGGTAGTTCCCAAGGAGTTCCTTTAATTTGAAGGGATTTTCCCTCACCTGTTTGGCTATGGGACAGGAAGGGAAGGGATTTATCTGCACTGGGATGCAAAAATGGCAAAAAAAAAAATGCCAGCTAAAACCTCCCATACCCTATACAATATGAAAAACATTTTGCATATAGTTCTACTTAAAACCCCCCAAAACAATATATATTTTCTGAACATAGAAGCCCTAAAGAATAATATAATGGTAATTACAATTTTTTATGTTGCGCTATACTTGTGCAACTGTTTGTCAAATCTCTATTTTCGTGAAAAAAAAAATACACACTAAAATGTATTTTAGTACACACAATTTAATCTTTTTTTTTCCCCACTTTGGCATGTGTGGCAATTTATGACATGCGTAGTAAATTGAATTACAAACATGCATGCACTCTAGAAATGCATTTGCATTCATATGCGTGTACGAAAGCAGGGTGAAGGGGGTGCTTTTAATATACTTTTTGTTTTACATACGTAACTTTTGCTTTCACTAGGGGTTAACAAAACATGCGAGTTCTGTAAAAGTGGTTTTGATTTTCTACAGACACTCAGATTACTTTTACATAAAGCTTTGAACACTGCTGCATAACACAAACACCAGACCACAGGTACTACTGCAGTAGTAGTTTAAAACTTTCCATACTTTGGATGTACTAAGCAGCATTTCACATGTATAAGAACAAACTCGGGGCTGTTCTACAATTTATTAAGATTACTTAGAAAATAGGGTATAAAGAGCAAGATTTAAAAAAAAAAACAAAAAAACGGAAATCACTGAAATGTGAAAAATTGTTTAAAACCAGAGGAATGTCAATTTGCAGGCAGAAATGTATGTTTGCTTTCTTAGAATTCTTTTTATTTCACCTTCTAAATACTTCAAACGCATGTCTGGCAGCAGGTGGGATGTTGCACTTCGGTGTAGCTGACTGTGTGGGCCAGTAGCCAGTCGTAAGAACTCTGACTGTGAGGTCTACCCCTCCTAAGGACACCTAATACAAAAAGCAAGAGCACCAATAAGAATGTCACTTCAGACAGGGAAGATGAAGTAATGTTGAGTAACCATGGACACAATTTCATACCCCTGTTGTCTGCAGATGTTGCCTGAATTCATCCATAGTAGTGTTTGAAATACTCATGTCTCTGAACATGCCCTCTAACTTTGAAGTGAATTGGCACCCACACTCAGTCTAAAAGAGAAAAAAAGAAGTGTTATAAAAACAGAGAAACTTGAGTAGAACATAGTTTTAAAGGCCAACTCTAGCCTAAGCCTCTCTTTGGTTTTGGGGGGAAAGGGTTGGACTCTTTTTAGTTACGGTCTTTCCACCCTTGGGGAATTGTTACGTTCTTTTCCTGCCACAGTGAACCAGAGACAGAATCTGCAAGCAAAATGCTTCTGCTGTGCTCTCTCCTTTAAAAAAAAAAAAACCCTCTCAATTGTATGGATGCAGCCAGTATTAAATATTTGCGATACTAAGCTTCAATAATAACAAAAATAGTAATAAAAAAAAAAAAGCTGCATGAATACATTAAATGACCAATGCCATACCATGCATTCACTGCCAAACTACACGTTCTACTTATGGAACATTGCAAAGATAGACAAGAAGCTTTGAGTAGCACTGCAACATCCAATGTTCTACAAACATGTTGGCATAAAGATGAAAGGAACAAAAGAGCAGTCACCTTTAATTTGGATATCATATTCTTTTCAGAGTCATCAGACACACTCTTGTTGGTAAGTAGTCGCCTAGCTAAATGCTGCTTGTAGTAACGTTCAAACACATCTTTTTCTTGCATGAATCTAAAAAGGACCATTGCCTTGTCAAGTATGGATTCCACCTCCTGTTCTGTGAGCTTTGGGAAAAAAAAAAATCTATTAATGTTAGACAACTTCAAAAGACACTATACTGACAAAAGACTTTAAAAAAATTATAGCATTAAAAAAAAAAAAAAAAAAAAAAAAAAAAAAAAAAATGCTGGTGTACATTAAATATTCTTTGCAGTGTTGACATTTGATAAAAGAGTCCTAGCAGTGACCATCTGGAAAATGACCTAGGAGCACTGTTCCTGCTTACTAGAATAAAAGGATCTGCTGTTTCTCTCGTCATATTCTGAGCAGAGCCTAGCCTTTGTCTACACAGCAGTTGTATTTGTCACAGGTTCAAGGAATCTCGCCCAGCATTTACAGATCATCTCAATTTGACCCCTGCACTAAATAAAAATGGAAGCTAATATAATCAGACACACGGACATGCAACTTAAAGGTACCATAAAACACATGAACCTGCATTCATTCCTATGTAGATACTGATGAATTCTCAAAATGTACTTCATTCCCCACATCAAATGTAAGCTGGCCATACACTGATCCAAATTCACCATATGGATTATGGATCAGTGTGTGTGGCTGTCCCTGTAGGTTGCTAGTTCACCTTTTGATTTTTTTTGTGAAAAAATAACTTGCACTTTAAACTTGGCTGACTCAAATATTGAGTTCCACTAGTTAAAACACAAGCTTCCCATTAAGAACAGATGAAGATTTAAAGATAGTCAAAAAAGCATCAGGACAAATTACTTACTCCTTTAACTCCTTTTTTGAGTTTGTCATCAATAAATAAGGAAAGGTACTCGGGGGATCTGGAGTTCAGATTGAGGAAGTACTCAAAGTCACCAGCAATAGTTTGCTTGAAAAGACGGTCATTACTAAAGGACTCCTGAAGAAACCTGTCGAATCTACTCTTCAGATCTAGGAGGCCCTGTAGATAAAGACAAATATAAAGAAGAAAACGCTACAGCAAAAAAATAACTGCAAGAATTGTCTTCTGGCAATATGTGGTATAGCACAAATGTAAAACTTTCTCAATTCGATAAGGATGATTAGGAAAGTGACTCAGCCGGTCCAGGTTCTGAAAAGATCCCGAACATATGATCGGTATCCACCCAGAACCCTGGACCACCAGGTGGCTCAGCCTACCAGTGATCCGCTGAGGACCTGAGCCAGCCCCTCCCACCACACCTCCACAGCCCAGAACGGGCAAAATGAGCGCTGGAGGGGCAGGGCAGAGAGCTGGAGGCTGACTGTCACGGTTCTCTTCTTAAAGCGAAGGGGAGAACTGAGCAATTGCAGAGTTTGATCACTCAGTACTCACTGCAGAGCTAGTAGGTGCCAGATGCAGCATCGGATTGATGCTGCATCCACCTAGGCGAGTATAAACTTTTTTTCTTTAAGTCTATACTTCTGTTACGTAGCTACTCTACCCAAGATCACAGACTCCTACAAAAACATTTCCAGGATGGCACTGAAATATATTATTATTATATACATACGCACAGGGAGAACATGTTTAAAGTGTTACTAAACCCACAACAGTAACATCAGTCTATATATGTTGTAAAGCATGCTCACTGTGGAATTTAAGTGGTTAATCCTCCACATTGAACATTCTACTGTCCCCAGTCCATCTGCTAATAGTACAGGGCTCTAGGAGGCACTCTGCACATGCCCAGTTTGGAATGTATTGCTAATGTTTTTTTAAAAAAAAAATTTCCGTTCTTGGAGAAGGTGCATACGATCAGCACAGGACCAATCAGCACTGCCCAGACAGAAGGTCAGGGGTTATGCAGCCTCATTGGACAGTCACGGCAGAATGAAAACTCCTACAAGCTTTAACACGTGCTCAGCTGGACACTGATAGAAGTCATAAGACTGCTACATACTACTGATGAGAAACGGTATTTAGCAGTTTATGTTTACTACAATAATTGCATTTCCATGTTATTTGCACTGTGGGAGACCAGATACAGTGAATGCAAGGTCCTGGGCTAACACTTTAAATTCATGTTGCTTTGGGGTCAAACAGTGGCCTCAGGTAGAGTAAATATTTACTCTGTGTGATCACTGAAACTCGCCACCAACAGACTGATGATGCTGGCCAAACTTAAATCCTAAATTGCTTAATTTTATTATTATAATTATACAGGAGTTATGAAGAGCCAACAGTTTACGCAGTGCTTTACAACATAAGGAAAGACAGTACAATTACAATAAAAATTAATACAGAAGGGATCAGAGGACCCTACTCGATAGAGCTTACAATCTAAGACAGCTTCCTGTCCACATCTTTTTTGTTGAGGCCATTTCCTGATTTTGCTGGTCATATATTTAAAAACTAGAGTCAGTGGTTGATCAAAATATTTAGATTCCAGTTTTTTTTCTCTAGGGCAAAAAAATAGGATATGATTGCATATGAAATGGTACACTGAACCAGAACCAGCAGGAAGGTCAAACAAAAACAGATGAATTTCTCATGAGTAAAAGAACAGGACCACAACCTGGTATGTTCAAGAAAAGGGGTCAAGTCCCTATAGGAACAGGTCTCAAACAATAACGGAGGACAACAGGTCCTGGTGCTGAATACCAGCCAGTCTAAATTGGAAGGCAATAAGCCTTTCAACCTTTACCCTTAGCTTCAAGGAGCAAAACTCTATGTGTAAAGAAGTTGTCTGACTAGACATCCAATATGGCAGGTGACAGACTTGCCAGGGAAATTTCTGAACCAGCCTATTTACCTAGAAATGGTAGGAAATTACTCCTGAATATTAGGAGACATGATCCCATGAAGTCAATGTGAAGGAAGGAGAGGGGTGCATAGGAAGAAAACTCCAAGGGTAGGCAAAAGATGGAAGTTAAGACAGGGAAACACCCTGAGTAAGGTATGCTTGGACGACAAAGGATTCAGGTCCTTGTCAGGGTAGGACAAATGTTTAGATAAATTTAATAAGCCATCACAAATGAAGCACAAGGCTCCAAACATCTGTTCTATGTGCTCAAATAAGGGGTTTACTCCGGTGGTGGAGAGATCCTTTTTGAGGGATCTAATCCTGACAGTTTGACAGATTAAGGTCACAGTCAACACAGGGCGGAGGGAGATAACTGGGATTTCAGGAGGAATTCCAACTGTTGGTCAATAGAATCTGTCTAGTAATTCTCCTGTTAAGGAGGGTCAGTGGCAGATCCACAGTGGGAATAGATCACAGTTTAACAAATTCACTCTCCAAGGGGAACCGTTCTAACACTCAAGTGTTGCATAGGACCCTTCAGGGTTTTTCCAGTCCACATAGATAAATACCTCAAATAGCAGGTGTAGGGGAGAGATCACTGCAGCTGTTGGGGCTCTGAAAAACTCAAAACTGGAGACAGAAGGCTGACTCTACAAATTCAGGCTAGGTTGCATGGCATCAATGAGGAGCAAAATGACCCCTTGTAATTCTGGGAGAAGGGCAGGAAACTGCAGTGGTTGAACCACAGTCTTTAGAAATAGACTGCGGTTACATGGATGTTCATATCAACTGGTAGCTGGGTCCAGTCAAAGACTCAGAAAGGTCAGAGATAAATTAAGCAGTGGATGGTACAAGAGCGTGCTTACTGTCTTTGTGGTCAAAATCCAAGAGGAATTGAGTGAGATTGGCCACAGTTATGAGTGACTGCATAAGAGGCCACTGACTATTGAGTAGGTGACTCAAATTCACCCCGATGGAGTGGAGGGGGACCCCAATGATGAAGAACCTATAACTGGATTCCAGATTACAATTGTCAGTGCCTTCAGAGGATACCAAGTAAATGCTCCTGGAATAGTTAGGAGAATGGGGTTGGGTAGCTTACCTACAGTAGCAGAACTATCCCTTCTCTGTCTATATATAGACATGCTGTGACCATGCAGTGGTGAAGCAACTAGCTGCAAAATGCGAGGGAAACCTCAGGTACTCACAGATCCAAGCAGCTGGTGGTTGATGAAAGTTGGGTAGCCAGAGGTAACCACTATCATTCCAGAAACGTGTTTGTCTAGAGAGACCACTTTAGATGGGCAGTAAGAAGAGACTTGAGTTTTGTATTCCCCATAGTGCTCTTCAAGCAGAAGCAGCAACAGGATGACACTCCCTCTAAGCTGAATGGCAAAAAAAAAACAAAAAAAGTGTGTAGTGTGACTCCAACCAGGGAACATTGATATTCAATCCCTCAGCACTGACTCTTACTGCAGTAAGCTGGCAGTAACAGGAAATCAATGGGATAATACCTCCTGTAAAGAGCATACCTCAAGTTTGTGAGAAAGCAATACCAAAAGGCAAGAGCAAAAATATAGAAATGGTGGAACCTGTGCCCTTCAATAAACTTCCAAATGGAAGACAAAAATTTTATCTTCCTTATCGTGCATTGAGGGACACAGGAATTCAGAAACAGTCGAGATGTCTAAAATCAGTGCAGATGAGATATAAGCAACAGCCAACTGGCTCACCCCAAACCAGCGCAGCATCTTCAGCCAAGAAATGAGGGGCAGGAACCTTAGCCACACTAAAGACATCCAGTCGGTTAGGGAAAGAAGTGAGGGAGGAATCCAAAAGGAACTTCCTTTATAGCTCTCCCTGCTGTTCCAGTGACCAGGTCCCGTAAAGGCTTCTGGATTGTACTTTTTATCCCATTAAGAGGGTACTGGCAGCAGGTTTCTGGCGTGCTCTGCCAGCCTACAATACAGGGGAGCAGAGAGTCATCCAGCAATGAAAACTTCCTGCCAAACAAAAGAAAAAAAAGAGTGCCAAATCCATGGGCAAAAGCCTTCCTCCAAGTAGAGACTATCAGCAGAGGAAAGCAAGAAAGCAATGTATTGTCTCTAAGGAAGACCATATGACCAGGCATAACACACTCGGGTGTCATCCAACTTGAAAGCTCCCAGGCCTACCCAAGTCAAAAAGGGTGATTGCCACCTTTGCAAATGCATTTCCACTAGAGTGGATTTCTCATATCTTTTGCTCAACAAATTGTTGAAAAAACAATGTGAGCTCTCCTGTTCTTCTCTGCTAACCTCAACCCTTTTCTCCACTTGTTTTTCTACACAGGATATCCCTACTGAGACTGGAGATGGTTGGCTTGACCTCTGCGGCAGTGTTAGTAGATCTTAGATTACTTTGTGTGTCAGCTCCAAGAGGGATTTAAAAAAAAAAATTATACGATATATATCATTATTTAAGCACAACTGACAAGTTAAGGATATTGTACACCTTGGTGGAGCACTTTACAATAAAATAATTCTTATAACTGGGAAATTATTCCTTTGTGTTGGGCTATGAATTCCTTTATCCCACAACTGACAACTATTTTTAAGAACATTTTTTCTTTTAATATCCAGCCAGCAGGTGGAGTTCTGAGCTCCTCATTTTGTTTTCAAAGCTCTCCTTACCTCTCGTAGAATAAAAAAAAAAAAAAAAAAAAAAAAAAAAAAAAAAAAAAAAAAAAAAGGTTGTTTATGCAGCTCAATATGAAAATAAATGTATTGAAGCACAGAATAAATCAGAGCAGTGACGCATCCCTTATTCTTCTCAACTATTGACAGAGCTCCTTACAAGAGTTAAATAAAAGAAAGAAAACCGTGAAAGAAAATAGCTGCCAAGAGGAAGTAATCATACTATACCATGTTTGACTGTTTAACTAGCTCACTGGCAAATCTGTTTAGTGAACTAGTTAAACATGGTTTTATTCTGGTTATAGGGAGTCCTACCTGGATGTAATCAACAGGATTCTTTCCTTCCCCCTCTTCAGAAACCAGGGCTTTCCCCTGTTCTCGAAGGTATAAACTCATACATTCACACATTGTCTTGAGACCATTCGGAACCCTACTGAATAACTTGTACATACAGGCCAAATCTGTAAAAGACAAAAAAAAAATGTTCTAAACTACATTCAGTTAATGTTACACAATCAAAATGAATATTTCTAAAGCTCAGAAACAAATACCTGTTTCAAATAAAACTTTACATGCCTCTGGTTTAGATTCTGTATTCCAAGTCCAGGCTGTAAGTAGGGTCTCTACCCATTGATATAGGCCTTTACTCTACAAGTCAGTACCAATCAATTCAGTCTGTCATTTTCACTGGTGGCCAAAAATATGCACACTAGAAAAATGCAGAGCTGGTCTTATCTGAAGTTATTTACTTCCTCCAAAAGCACTGCAACTCTGGCTATATATAATTTTGTTCTACATTGAATGCTGAATCCAGTTTGATTGTATTTAGAATCATATCTATCCATAAGAAGCAATTATAGATTTGCACTTTCTTGGAATAAAATGCACATTTGTAAGTCCTTCCGGTGTAAGTATTTTATTACAATACTCATTACAGATTCTAAGAGTTCCCATTTGTTTCTTGGTCTCTTAGCCAATCTGGGCAACACTGAAGCATTGTATTGGAAATCAGTAATCATTCATTCTGTAGCACACCAATGTTGTCCCTCCTCCGTGAAGAGGATAAGCCGACTCTGCAAGTGAAGAGGAAAAGACACATTTACTAAAACTGGAGAAACCAAAATAAGGTGCAACTGTGCATGGTAGACAATCAGCTTCTAACTTCAGCTTGTTCAATTAAGCTTTGAGAAAAAAGAAAAAACACCTCTTGAAGCAGATTGGTACCTACGCAGAGCTGCACCAGATTTTGCACTCCCCAGTTTAAGTAAATCAACGCCAAGGTAACTCTTTGCTAGAAGGGATGTCTGTAAATAAAAGAAAAACATTAACTATTTCAGTGCTTGACCCAGATTAGTGAGTGTAGGTGTTTGTCATTTATGCTGCCACTAATGGACACTGACACTATGACTATCAGTCAATGGAAGTGCATGTGGTAGTGTTAGCAACAGCGTGTTGGGTAAGACAAAAAAAAAAAAAAAAAACACAAAAAAGATTGTATATACTGTCCAGTATGGGTGTTAGTATCAGTGTGTTTAGGAAGGACAAAGAGGAGGGGGGGGGGGGTGGAACTATTGTTTCCTGGCCCTATTATGGGTACTTATAACACATCATGCACAAATGTGATAATGCTGCAGTCACCAGTAGAATTTATTATGCAAATTTACTATAAGGCTACAGAAAAAAAAAAAAAAAAAAAATTAGAAGTAGGAGATAACCATTACCATATACCAGCAAATGAAAGCCTAAGCTGTCCTGAAAAGGAACAGGGTATTATCCACCTGAATACACTAAGCTGTTGTGATATGTACAGTAATACTAACACATGCCAAAGTTGTAAAATTGGGCGTGGGCGCGAAGGATTGTTTTGACCTTGATCATAAAGGGGTTATGCCATTAACCACTTGCCCTCCTGAGGATTTATTCCCCATCCTAACCAGGCCATTTTTTCCGTTACAGCGCTGCGTTACTTTAACTGACAATTGCGTGGCCATGAAACGCTGCACCCAAATTAAAAATTTATGTCCTTTTTTTCCCCCACGAATTGAGCTTTCTTTCGGTGCTATTTGATTGCCTGTGTGTTTATCTTTTTTGCACTATAAAAAAAAAAAAAATTAGAAAAAAAATAAAAGGACTGACAATTGAGTGTAAAAAAATATATATATATTTTTTTACTTTGCTATTCAATAAAATTAAAAGAAAACAAAACAAAAAAACTCATACATTTAGGCCAAAATGTATTCTGCTACACGTCTTTGCTAACAAAAAAAAAAATCCCAATATGTGTAAATTGGTTTAAGTGAAAGTTAGTGTTTACAAATGGCGGTATAGATACTGGCTTTTTTTCTACTAGTAATGGCGTCGATCAGCGACTTTTAGCGGGACTACGGTGGGCATTCTGACTGGGGGGAACTGACTTGGTGTCACTGACATCCCTCGTTACACCAATACAGTGATCAATGCCAAAAAAAAAAAAAAAAAAAAAGACTGTACTAATGGCATTGGGCAGGAAGGGGTTAACATGAGGGGTGATCAAAGGGTTAACTGTGTGCAGGGTGTGTTTTACTAGGGGGCGGTGTCTGTGTGCTTCACTGTAATCGCACTGCTCCAGGAGCTGTGTGTCCGAGCTGACACAGTCCTAGTAAACAAAACAGTCGTCCTCCCTGTCGGCGATTCTCAGTAATTACCAGGCGCTGACGGGTAATCACCAGACAGGACCAGTTGATTGACAGCCACGGCTGGCAGCAAAGATAGGGCTCACGCATGCCTCCTACCCAGAAATGCAAAATCATGTATATATACACATGCAAACTGTAGTGAGGGGGTAATGTAGGGGTTCTGAGCTCATGAAGAATATTACAAGGAGGCAGAAAAACACAGTATGAAAATGTTATGAAAAAATAGATTACATGGCTATTAAGTAGTGGAATTGTAGGAAATATTTTTGTTAATGACTGGCCAGGAAATAGCCCAATCTAAAGCCTACTGAAAACCTCTGGGAAAGACCAAGAAACAAATTGTAATGCCTAGAATCCATAATAAAGTGCTGGTATCATAGTATCATTACTTCTAAATATACTGTATTCCATACCAAAAAAGTGCAAAGCTGTTGTTGCATCTAAAATACTAAGCAACCAGATACTGACATTTTTGTAGATAAAACACATACATTACTTGTTGGAATAAATATATTGGGCTGCATTCACACCTCAGCGTAGAGATTTACAGGCGTTTTTTTAGAAGTGTATTACAAGCTTTTTAGAAGAGCATTACAAGTGCTTTACAGCTTCAGGCCTTTTTGTTTAGCCAATAGAAAGCACTAGAGGTGGAGGAAATTAGGGGTGGAGAGCTGCTGTTGGAGTAGAAAACATGCAACAAAACGCTCAAGTCACACATTTTCAGGAGTTTCTATTGAAGTCTTTGGGGCCAAAAATACGTGTTAATCTGCCAAAAAAGAAGCTCACGTACTTTTTTTTTTTTTTTTTTTTTTGAGAGACAGGCCTTTTGCTTCAGGTGAAAACTTTCATATGTCAACAGGGGCCATTGACATGAATGCGATTTGGCTTGTTGAGCATTTTAGAGCTACAAAACATCAAGCAGAAATTCGTTAAGGTGTGAATGCAGGCTTAAAGTATAACACTGCATTGAGCATTTCCATTAAAGGGATATATAACATACAGACTTTATAACATTAGTCCATAAGTCTGTACCTTGTTCCACACACTAACAGCTGTTCCTCATAACAGTGAAGTGGCCTCTGACCCCTGGTTCACACATATGCGTTTTGAACTGCACCAATTTGCATGACAGGCCAAATGAAATGTTTCTGCAGACAGTTCATATGTTGGCCAGACGCAGTGCGATTTTGAAAAGGGTCCTGTGCGATTTTCAGTATAGTGCGGATTCCAGCCTGATGCACATTAACATTGGAATCTTACTGCTTGCACAAAATGGCACCACATCGGCCAACAAATTCGCACCGCATATATGTGAGCCCGGAGTGAGAAAATGAAATGGAACAGCAGAGGGCTCCAGACCAAGTGCAGTAGTATGAGCACAATTTTTATTAAAAAGACAATTGTCAACTCACTTTTAGCTGCAAGTACAAAACATTATTCCATGGGTCCGCAAGGTGGATGGTCACCATGCTGCTGTGGCCACCAGCAGGATCAGATGCCACTGTAGGATGAGCCAGGCATTGCCGAGAACCAGGCTGGAACACACAGGGGCACTGGACCAGAAGTGACGTCACCGTGGGTGAAATATAAAGTGTTTCAGAACCCTGTGACTTCTTCCTTAAACCATGATGGTTTGAGAAAGACGCTGCAGGGATTTGAAACATGTAACCAAGTACATGCCTATACAAGTCATGATGAAAAAAATATTCTGCCTGTGTCCTGTGATTAATTGGATGCCTTATACTGAATCTCCTGCTTACTTAGCATATGCGATCAGTGTCCAATTGTCCCACAATGGTATGTTGGAGGTGCGTGACCTCCTTTTCAAGATATGGAATTAGTTCTATTAGCACTCAAACCCCTGCAAGCCCAGAACTACTGGAAATTCTCTATATGTGATTTAGCAGATAAAATCATTTTTTTGGAGTTAACGATTTATTTTGATTCACATTTTGATTATACCTTATATTTTGATACATACTTTTACCAAATATTCTACTTTGACAGAAGGTTAGCCATTAATTTCCAAACATTTCACATTTTAAATTGCCCGCAACTGTGGAAAAATGAAGGCCAGCAAAGAAAAGTAGAAGCCGTATGGAGATCAGTCGAATAAATAACAATTTTATGAAATGCAAATACAAGCTTTTTAATAGTGGTGCACCAAAATTAAAATTCTGGACGGAGACCTAAAATTCAGGATACACTTGTCCCAAACTCAAACGGGAAAGTTTTTAAAAAAAATATATATATACACATATAATTGTGTAATATACAGTTAGGTCCATATATATTTGGACACTGGCACAATATTGGTTTTATCAGGTGTTTACCAAACCTTATTCAATATATAGTTATATAATGGATTTGGGCTGAAAGTGCACACTCTCAGGTTAAATTGAGGGTATGTACATCCAAATTGGAGGAAGGGTTAGGAATTACAGCTCTTAAGAGTAGCCATCCCCCTTTTTCAAGGGACCAAAAGTAAAATTGGACAATTGAATATAATTATAAATAAAATGTTCATTTTTAATATTTTGTTGTGAATCCTTTACTAGCAATGACTGCTTGAAGTCTGGAACCCATGGACATTACCAAAGACTGGGTTTCCTCCTGATGCTTTGTCAGGCTCTAACTGCAGCGGTCTTCAGTTCTTTGTGGGTCTTTTCGCCTTCAGCAAATGCATGCTCAATGGGGCTGAGATCAGGTGATTGACTTGGCCATTGCAGAATATTCCACTTATTTTCCTTCAAATGCTCCTGTGATGCTTTTGCAGTGTGTTTTGGATCATTGTCCATATGTACTGTGAAACGCCGTCCAATCAACCTTGCTGCGTTTAGCTGAATCTGTGTTGACGATCTCTCTAAACACTGCAGAATTCATCCGGCTGCTTCTGTCACATCATCAATAAACACCAATGACCCAGTGCCACTGAAAGCCATGCATGCCCATGCCATCACACTGCTTTCATCATGGTTTACAGATAACGTTATGTGCTTTGGATCATGAGCTGTTCCAAGCCTTCTCCACACTTTTTACTTCCTGTCATTCTGGTACAGATTAATCTTAGTTTCATCTGTCCAAAGAATGCTTTTCCAGAACTGGTATAGCTATTTGTAGATGTTTTTTGGCAAAGTCTAATCTGGCTTCTCTATTCTTCAGGTTTATGAACGGTTTGCACCTTGTGGTGAATCCTCTGCTCTTGTGAAGTCTTCTCTTGATTGTAAACTTTGACAATGATATGCCCACCTCCTGGAGAGTGTTCTTCACTTGTCAGGATGTTGTGAATTGTTTTCTCTTTACCATAGAGAGGATTCTGCGATCATCCACCACTGTTGTCTTCCGTAGACTTCCATGCAGGGGCAGACTGACAACTCATGGGGCCCCGGGCAATAGGGGATCATGGGGCCCGTGTCCTTGCCCAAACTCAAAAAAGCCTATGAAAAAGGTACCAGGGGCATCTCATGGGGCCCCCTACTGACCCCGGGCCCTCGGGCAGTGCCCGAGTTTCCAAATGGTCAGTCTGCCCTGCATCCATGCCTTTTTTGTTACTGAGCTCACCAGTGCGTTCTTTCCTCAGAATGTACCAAACGGTTGACTTAGCCACTCCTAATGTTGCTGCTCTCTGATGGATTTGTTTAGTTTTTGAAGCCTTACAATGGCCTGTTTCACTTGCATGGACAGCTCCTTTTCACGCATGATGTAGGTTCACAGTAAGAGATTCCAAATGCAAATACAACACTTAAAATCAACTCCAAATATTTTACCTGCTTAACTGATGAAGAAATAACGAAGGAGTAGTCCACACCTGGCCATGAAACAGCTTTTGATTCAAATGTCCAATTACTTGAAAAAGGGGGGATGGCTACTCTTTAGAGCTGTAGTTCCTAAACCCCTCCTCCAATATGGGTGTACATACCCTCAAATTAAACCTGAGAGTGTGCACTTTCAGTCCATATCCATTTTAGAACTATAAATAATATATATATATATATATATATATATATATATATATATATATATATATACAGTCATGGCCGAAATTGTTGGCACCCTTGATATTTCTCCAGGAAATCATGTATTTCTCACGAAACGTATTGCATTAACACATGTTTTGCTATACACATGTTTATTCCCTTTGTGTGTATTGGGACAAAACAAAAAAAGGGAGGAAAGAAAGCAAATTCGACATAATGTCACACAAACCTCCAAAAATGGGCTGGACAAAAGTATTGGCACCCTTTCACAACTGCGGATAAATAAGAATGTTACAAGCATGTGATGCTCCTGTAAACTCACCTGGGGCAAGTAACAGGTGTGGGCAATATAGAAATCACACCTGAAAGCAGATAAAAAGGAGAGACGTTCACTTAACCTTTGCATTGTGTGTCTGTCTGTGCCACACTAAGCATGGACAACAGAAAGAGAGACGACGAGAACTGTCTGAGGACCTGAGAACCAAAATTGTGGCAAAATATCAACAATCTCAAGGTTACAAGTCCATCTCCAGAGAACTAGATTTGCCTTTGTCCACAGTGCGCAACATTATCAAGAAGTTTGCAACCCATGGCACTGTAGCTAATCTCCCTGGTCGTGGACGGATGAGGAAAATTGATGAAAGATTGCAACGCAGAATAGTCCGGATGGTGGATAAGCAGCCCCAAACATGTTCCAAAGACATTCAAGCTGTCCTGCAGGCTCAGGGAGCATCAGTGTCAGCGCGAACTATCCGTCGACATTTAAATGAAATGAAACGCTATGGCAGGAGACCCAGGAGGACCCCACTGCTGACACAGAGACATAAAAAAGCAAGACTACAGTTTGCCAAAATGTACTTGAGTAAGCCAAAAGCCTTCTGGGAAAACGTCTTGTGGACAGATGAGACCAAGATAGAGCTTTTCGGTAAAGCACATCATTCTACTGTTTACCGAAAACGGAATGAGGCCTACAAAGAACAAAACACAGTACCTACGGTAAAATATGGTGGAGGTTCAATGATGTTTTGGGTTGTTTTGCTGCCTCTGGCACTGGGTGCCTTGACTGTGTGCAAGGCATCATGAAATCTGAGGATTACCAAAGGATTTTGGGTCGCACTGTAGGGCCCAGTGTCAGAAAGCTGGGTTTGCGTCCAAGATCCTGGGTCTTCCAGCAGGACAATGACCCCAAACATACGTCAAAAAGCACTCAGAAATGGATGGCAAAGAAGCGCTGGAGAGTTCTGAAGTGGCCAGCAATGAGCCCAGATCTAAATCCCATTGAACACCTGTGGAGAGATCTTAAAATTGCTGTTGGGAAAAGGTGTCCTTCCAATAAGAGAGACCTGGAGCTGTTTGCAAAGGAAGAGTGGTCCAAAATTCCGGGTGAGAGGTGTCAGAAGCTTATTGATGGTTATAGGAAGCGACTGATTTCAGTTATGTTTTCCAAAGGGTGTGCAACCAAATATTAAGTTAAGGGTGCCAATACTTTTGTCCAGCCCATTTTTGGGGTTTTGTGTGACATTATGTCATATTTGCTTTTCTGCCTCTGTTTTATATTTGTTCCAATACATACAAAGGGAATAAACATGTGTATAGCAAAACATGTGTTAATGCAATACCTTTTTTGTGTGAAATACTTGATTTTCAGGAAAAATATCAAGGGTGCCAACAATTTCGGCCATGACTGTATATATATATATATACACACACACACACATATACATACATACATACATACACACACACATTATATATATATATATATATATATATATATATATATATATATATACACACACACACACACATACACACACACACACACACACACACACACACACACCAAAGCCAATTAATTGGCACCTTTTTTTTTCTCTTTCCGATCAGCAAAATGCAGATAACCCAATTTTCAGCGGCCAATATATCAGTGCACCAGTACCTCCTAATATAGGGGGCTTACCTTCCGTCTTTCCATTCTTCAGCATATGGACTAACCCTGAGTTTTCCATCTCCACAATGGTCTTCATATGTTTGGAAATGAGCTCTCTCTCCACAACCTTCACAATTGGCTCCTCTGTGGATTTGTCTAGACAGTGCATGACTCGTTCTATCTCTTCATTTATTCTAGCCTCTACTTTCTTTATATACACAGAGGCACTGTTTTCAGCTAGAAACTTTTGGCTTTCCATCTGTGGAGAAAAAATGTATATGATATTTTGAAGTGCAGCATTAGGACACTATGTAAAAAAACATTTTTTTACAGTCAGAAACTTTTTATGATTCACAAACATTCATGCAGATTGCAAAGAATTTCCCTGAATTTTCTTTTATACATTAAATTCCTATGATCATCAGCTCTATCTAGTGGCTAAAATACAGTATATTTTCTCATTGAGGAGTTTCATAAAACTATACTGCATTCTGGCCACTAGAAGGAGCAGACAATCATTGGAATTAATATACACGATTTAAAAACATTAAAGGAACACTTTTTAATCAGAGTATAGCATCAAATCAAAACTTAAGAGGTATTGATCTGGTCAGTTAAGTAGCTGAGGGGGTTGTTAATCAGTTTCAGCTACTTAGGTGTTGATGAAATTAACAACAGGTACAATAGATGGGCAACAATGAGACGACCCCCAAAACAGAAATGGTTTTATAGGTGGAGGCCACTGACATTTTTTTCCCTACCCATCTTTTCTGTTTTTCAATAGTTTTGCATTTGGCTAGGGTCAGTGTCACTACTGGTAGCCTGAGGTGATACCTGGACCCTACAGAGGTTGTAAAGGCAGTCCAACTCCTCCAGGGTGGCACATCAATACGTGCCATTGCCAGAAGGTTTGCTGCGTCTCCCAGCACAGTCTCAAGAGCATGGAAGAGATTCCAATAGCCCGGCAGTTACTCTAGGAGAGCTGGACAGGGCCATAGAAGGTGCTTAACCCATCAGCAGGACCGGTATCTGCTCCTTTGTGCAAGGAGGAACAGGATAAGCACTGCCAGAGCCCTACAAAATGACTTCCAGCAGGCTACTGGTGTGAATGTCTCTGACCAAACTATCAGAAATAGACTTCATGAGGATGGCCTGAGACCTGAGGGCCCAACGTCCTCTAGTGGGCCCTGTGCTCATTGCCCGGCAGCACAGAGCTAGATTGGCATTTGCCACTGAAAACCAGAATTGGCAGGTCCGCCATTGGCGACCTGCGCTTTTCACAGATGAGAGCAGGTTCACCCTGAGCACATGTGACAGACGTGAAAGGGTCTGGAGAAGCCCTGAAGAATGTTATGCTGTCTATACCTTTTAGCATGACCGTTCTGGTGGTCTGTCAGTGATGGTCTAGGGAGGCATATCCATGGAGGGACACACAGACCTCTACAGGCTAGACAATGGCACCAAGACTGACATTGGGTATCGGGATGAAATCCTTGGGTCCTGGGTTTTTACTGATGTACGACAATGCCCGACCTCATAAGGTGAGAGTATGCAGTCAGTTCCTAGAGAATGAAGGAACTGATACCATTGAATGGCCCCCACACTCCATGCTTTCTGACCTAAATGAAATAAAACACCTCTGGGATATCATGTTTCGGTCCATCCGACAGCGCAAGGTTACACCCAAGACTGTCCAGGAGCTCAGTGGTGCCCTGGTCCAGATTTGGGAGAAAATACCCCAGGACACCATTCGTCATCTCATTAGGAGAATGCCACAACGTTGTCAGGCATACATACAAGCACGTAGGGGCCATACAAACTACTGACTACCATTTTGAGTTGCTGCAATGAAATTTCAGCAAAATGGGCTAGCCTGCTGCATCATATTTTCACTTAGATTTTCGGGTGTCTTTGAACTCAGTCCTCTGCAGGTTATTTTCCATTTCCATCAAACGATAGGTCATCCTTCCATTCCTAACACATTACCCAGTCCATATCAGTATAAATATCCAGCATGATATTTTTCCCCATTGAGATCTGATGTGTTTTCAAAGTGGTCCCTAATTTTTTTAAGCAGTGTATTAACCGCTTCACAACCAAGATCAAAACATACACACAAGCCCAATTTTGCAACTGTGACAAGATAGGTACAGCCTTTTTCAAACAGGGTGCCTTAGCAAAATGACTAAACATAGCCCAAAAATTGTACACAGGCCATCTGGTGGATCAGGCCCGACTTTTAGTTACACAAAGCCACAGGTTTTCACTGTGCACCATTACGACCTTCCTGCCTCCAGCGTCCTAACAACCATAGGTTGATAAGGATGTCGGGAACCTGCTCCTCTCCGTTAGCATGGGGGGGGGGGGGGGGGGGTCACATTAGCTGAATGAAGGGGAGAAACACTGCAATACTAGTCACTACCAGTGTGCAAAGGTGTATTTGCACTGGAAGAATAAACCACCTCTAACTTTGGGCATTTGACTAAGAAACTGTTTGTAAAACTGTACATATCACAACTACTTGAGTATCCAGGTGGATGGATTATACCTTGCTTTTTTTTTCAGGACAGATTGGCTTTCATTTTGTCGTAAATTTTTATATATTTTTAGCCTTATATTTTTATGCCATTACCACAACCCATCACAACAATAACCTGCAAAATAAATTCTCCTACTTCGGACAATCACGGCAATACCACATACAGTGCGCATCTATAAAGTATTCAGACTCCTTTCACTTTTTTCAATTTTATTATGTTGCAGCCAGATACTACAGTTATTTAGCAGCTTGCCCGCTGCTCTATAGCAGAACTACTGCTACAGGGCTGTGCAAAATCACACACACACACAATTTTGCATTTCTGGGTAGGGGGCGCGTACCACCCTACATGCGTCGCCATTAGCGGCTACAGCTGTCGATCACTGGGTCCCGGACGGAGATTCCCCGCCAGCACCTGGCTATCACCGAGGAACAGTGAAAGGGGAGAGGTCTGTGTGTAAAAAACACAGATCTCCCCCGTCAGCACCGACATGCTGCTTTCTATTGCTCTGCATAGCAGAGCAATAGGGAGCAGCATGCTTACACAGTAAGACACACACAGAACAGTTAGTAAAACAGCACACAGTTAACCCTTTGATTACCCCAGATGTTAACCCGTTCATGCCAAGTGTAATTACCAGTGTCCGTGCTTTTTATTAGCACTGATCACTATATTAGTGTCATTGGGACGTCAGTGGCAGTTAGTCAGTTCCCAACCAGTGTCAGAATGCCCTGCACCATTAGCAGTTAATAACAAAAAAAAAAAAAAAAAAAAACAGTATATATACCGCCATTTGTAGATGCTACAACTATCACATAAACCAATTAATATACATGTATTGGGATTCTTTTTTTTAGCAGAATACATTTTGGCCTAAATTTATGATGAAATTTGATTTTTTACATTTTTTTTTACTGGCTGTTTTATAGCAAAAAGTCAAAAATATTGTTTTTTTTCCCACAATTGTCGGTCTTTTTTGTTTATAGCGCAGTCAGTGACACCTAGTTCCCCCCCTCCCCATGTCAGAATGTCTGCATCAGTCCCAATAAATGTCACTGATCGCCGCCATTACTAATAGCGCAAAAAAATATAAACCGCATAGACTATCATACACCATCGAGAGAAAGCTCAATTTGATGGGGGAAAAAAAAAAAAAGGACAAATTTCATTTGGGTGCAGTGTTGTATAAGTGCGCAATTGTCAGTTAAAGTAAAGCAGCGCCGTATCGCAAAAAATGGCCTGGTCAGGAAGGGGGGGGGGGGGAAAGGGAGGGAAAAAGCATTCAAAAAATGTTTTGTTTCTGTTTTGGGTTTAATGCCGCTTTAAAACCAGCGACTGAGAAGCAGGATGGAAAAAAAAAAAAAAAAGTCTCTTGTGACAGGAGGTTGGGAAGAGGTCAAAGCTCATCCACAAGGAGTCTATATCTGTGTAAAAAGTTCTCCTGGGTAAACTTTGGGTAATTAGGACTGGCAGAAACCATTCTTCTATTTTGTGGAGTAGTTGAGGAAGGACATGGATGCCCTGAGACCTTAGAACCAGGAGCAGAGCCAGACTCTTGGTTTTCACAAAAGTATAGAAAGCATGGGTGTGCAGGAGAGATTGGAATGTGAATATATACATCTTAAATGTTGTGTTGTTATGGCTATTTGCAGTGGTTTTTTTTTATATAGCACGAACAAGAAGTAACATTTTAGTTAAATGTGTGGTTTCAGTTTGGAAGCTAGGCCTCCCTTATGAATATGCTAAGGAAACTGTTGGACTAGTAAGCACAGGAAGCTCGCTACAGGATATGATGTAGAAGGAAATAGAGGGAGGGATATAGGATTTGAAAGCCATGTGCTCTGGAGACAAAAAGGGCAGTGGTTCTGGAGACTTGGAAGAAACAGTGTGTTGGAGTACTTTGATAGAAGCAGGAAGCATTCCTGAAGATCCTGGATCCTGTAGGTTGTCTCCATCATAAAGAAAGATCCAAGTTAAGTAACTGTTTTAGTGTATGTCTATCATAGTCACCTTGTGCATGTTGTTGGCATATTGTTATACTTTGCATGTTCTAGTTTGTGTATCCTGATTGTGAAGAGGGCTTCTGGGTAGGATCGAACCGAGTCTTTAACCACAAAACATATGCACAGAGGGCATTGACCTCCTAAGGGACCTGGCAAGGTATATTTTCTAGGGTACCAAACAAGTTCCAGCAGAACAAGGTCCTCAAAACACAGGATTGTGCGCTTTAATTTGTCCAAGCCATTTAGCAAAACTTTGACAAACGGGATATACCTACAATGGCCAGTTGTAAGGCAGGACCAGGAAGAGCAAAGGTTGCCTTCATAAGGGTTTCTAAGCATCTATTGTTAGAATCCTTAGAGGGAACATGTTCAGCAAGATGTACTACTAGCACAAACCATTTTTTCATAAATTACTTTTCCATAGGAAAAAGGAAGGAATACCTTTTAATTATTTTGATAAACCTTATGCAAAGCACGGTTAGTTTGATAAGTATATATAGAAGTAATTCTGGACCTCACCATATTGGAGATTGTTTTGGCTGAAGAGGTTCTGATGCTGCTAGAAAAAAGCTTGTACACACCATTTCAATAGGTGAGCTCACAGTAGAAAGTATATGGCGTAAGACTTTCAAGAAGTATAGCCAAAGCTATTTTGACTAGACTAATGTTATGGATAACAGGAGTGCAGTATGTTCTGAACTCCTGTGACCTGGTTCCAGCATACAGTCGGCTAAAGTCTGCTGACATCACTCAGCCAGTCCAGGCTCTGAAAAGATCCCAACCATATGCCTGGACCAGCACCTGGCTCATCTTCTCAGCGATCCGCTGAGAGCTTGAGCCAGCCGCTCCCTTCCTCTCCAGTATAGTGCTCCAGTGAAAGCTGTAGGGGTAGAGCAGAGTGCCAATGACTGATAGTCCCCAGCTCTCCGCTAATAAAATGCTGAGAATTGAGCGTACAGTGGTCTTTGTTCGCTCAGTGCAGAGCTGCTGGGGGACAGATGCAACATTGGATCGATGCTGCTGCATCCACCAACTCGAGTATAAATGTGTTTTTTTCCCCCTAAATCCCATACTCAACTTATGTCTCATATCATGCAGGTGGTGAAAATTCCCCTGCAATACTCATGTCCATCTTTCCTTTCTCGATATCCTACTCCTGAATAAAATCAAATGGTGGAGATGCAGAAAGTGCTCTCGGGCCCTGGAGACCAAGCACTTTGGAAAGGCAGAGAGTTTTCCAAACAAATAAAAGTTGCAATCAAATTTACTTTATTATGATAGGCCAACTGTGGTTGGCCTGAGATTGAGCTAAAATTAGAGGAATAGAGCGGAGTCAGTATATGCCCTTGCTTGGGTGCGCAGAACAGCTATCATCTTGTTAATTTTGCTTCTTTTTTTTCAGTGCAGTCTGTAGCAAAAGTGCAATTAGGCCCTTTTTTCTCGACTCCTCTGCACCTTGTTTGCATCATTGCCAAGTGAGGGGATCCCCTTTGAGGTAATCACGAAATAGATGTTGGCTGATCGGGTATTTGCATGTCTAGGAAAGGAGCCGCTATAATCCAGATACTGACTGGGCTATAAAGGTTCATCACCTTAAATACACTAGCAAAAAAAACCCCAAAAGTTTTGCAGATTTGGAAGAATTATACAAGTATGCTCTAGGGGCAGCTAGTGTCCAATCACCTGAAGGTAGCTTGCATATAAACCATGGTCTATGAATATACGTCTGGTGTCTTTTACTGTACAGTTAAAGTGGTTGTAAAGCCTGATTTTTTTTTCCCTAAAAGAAAAAAAAAAAAAGCGGTTTTATTTACCTGCTCTGTGCAATGCTATTGCACATAGTGGTCCCTTACCTCCTTTTCTGGAGTCCCCCACTGGTGCTGTCTGCTCCTCCTTTCATGCATGTGCCCCCATAGCAAATCATGTGCTGCAGAAGCACATGCAGGTATATTCCTGAGCCAAGCTGTGCGCATAACCATAGACATGCCCTCTGCTCCCTCCTTACGGGATTTCAATAACAGCAGCAGGACACAATGGCTCCCACTGTTGCCTGAATCTCCTATGAGGCCATGAAGTGACAGAAGAGGCTGCAAGGATCAGCCCTAGCAGCACTGAGGAGCCTGCAGGGTTGGAGAATTAAAAGAATAAAATGGCATAATAAAAATCCTCAGACAAAAATGAACAGTTAACACTAGCATTGCAGGCACAGCCCCACTGTAAGGGAGGATTTTTAGGCTTTCTGCAGGAAAAAAGCCCCCTCTAGCCACTGCTCTGTGTCCATTGACACACAGAGCTGCAACTTGGCCCTGCCTCCTCTCTTCTCATTGGCTCCACTGGCTAATTAACAGCAGTGGGAGCCAATTGGTCACGCTGCGGTCTCAGCCGGAATAGCTAAGACTCCGGTGCACATCGCTGGATCGAAAGGAGACTTAGGTGAGTATAAGGGGGGCTGGAGGGGGGATATTGCAGGGAGGTGGTTTTTTGCCTTCATGCAAAAAAATGCATGAAGGTAAAAAACCTTGAGCCTTTACAACCACTTTAATTTTGACAGTCTGGCTGCACTAGTTATTCTTTAGTCATATAAACACATCCATCTGCACCTCTGAATATGGGCACCTGTGTGAATGAGGCCTAAAGTAGGCAGGCTAATTGGCTCCTGTATGTGTATGTATGAATGTGAGTTAGGGATCTTAGACTGTAAGCTCCTTGAAAGCAGGGACTGACATAAATGTTCAATATATGCGTAAAGCTCTGCGTAAATTGTCGGCATTATATAAATACCTGAAATAAAATAAAGGATAAGAAGCTTGAAAAATTAACTAATGCAGCTGTGGACAGGTAAGCTGTAGCAATTTTTTAAAAGCTGACAGCAATGCAGACACTGAATCATTCACCTGGAAGAACTCAGCAGACATCTCTAAAAACGGAGCTTCAAAATCTTCTTCGTAGACAGACCTTCCCTCCAGCCCAAGGATCATAAGCATCTGACAGGCATTTCTAATGGCACCTCTGTCAAGAAATAGAGTAAAATTGTTAAGAGAAATGACATTAAATCTTCAAAGAGATCTCGTCACCAGACCATACATTAAAATAAAAATATATTGTCCCAAAATAATAAATGTGCATTTAAAGAGGTATTAAAGTGATAGTAAACTAATTTTTTTATGTTTACCTACAGGTAAGCTTATAATAAAGCTTACCTGTAGGTAAAATTAGAATATCTCCTAAACAGTGCATGCTTAGGAGATATTAGTGAGCAGCAACCGGTGACATCAGCAGCGCATGCACTCTGAAGGAACGGCATACCCGTGCCATTCCTTCAGAGTTGGGTGCCGAGGCGAAGACTCACGCGCGAACGCGACAGAGTGACATCACAGCTCAGCCAGCCAATCAAGTGGCTGCAGCCCGCGAACCCGGAAGGAAAACTGGGTGAAGATGGAAGCCTCTGCAGTGGTGACAGTGTGCCACTGGAGGGATTTGTTTTACGGTAAAGTCCTTCATAATGTGCTAGTACGTGATGCATAGTAGTGCATTATGTCTCTGCATTGCAGGGGAAGAGTGTTTACATTTTTTTTTTCTTTCAGTTTACTACAGCTTTAAACCCAAAACCAAAAATGTAATATATTGCAGCTTACCAATCATTAGATGTGGTAGCTGCATTACTTTTCTTTTTTCTGCTTTTTTCCCCCATCTGTTTTCACCTAGTGACCTGGTCATGAACACCTCCTGTATTAGATAGAGTGTCCCCACTCTGGATGAAGGCGCACAGAGGCACCTTTGGAAAGCAGGATTGTCAGTCTGGGGAGATGGTGAGTAACAAAATGAAGCCAAAATCCAACTCGCATTGCAATTACAGCAAAGGTTTTTTTCTTTAGGGAAAAAAAGGTTTTACATTAATAAAATGTTATAAACGTAAGCACCTCTGGTCAGTGGTAAATTGTCTCAACACTCAAAGTGATACAAAATACAGTTTAATTGCTATTATCCCTTAATGTATATGGATGATGGCACTTCATTTATTTTAATTAAAAAACATCCAAGTACCTTTTTTCATAATCAATATACAGCTGTCATGTGACCCAACTCTTTCCCAGCCCATCTGCAGGGAAACATCAGCGGGAGGAGCTTCGAGTCCTCTGCTGCTGGTCACGTTTCAAAGAAAAAAGAAAAAAGCCTTTGAAATACGAAAGAAAAACAGCATCAAATAAGTGTTTTATAAAACACCCTACAAATATACACTGCTCAAAAAAATTAAAGGAACACTTTAAAAACACATGAGATCTCAATCGGGAAAACTGGGTAATGTGTTGGAAACATAAGGATGCTCCATCGTTTGAATTCAGTCCTCTGTAGGTTGATAATTCCCATTTCCATCAAAGACCCTGAAAATCAAGTGAAAAAATGACACAGCAGGCCAGTCCATTTTGCTGAAAATTTTATTGCAGCAACTTAAAATGGTACTCAGTTTGTATGACCCCCACACGCTTGTATGCATGATTGACAACGTCCTAATGAGATGACGGATGGTGTCCTGGGGTATTTCCTCCCAGATCTGGAGCAGGGCATCGCTGAGGTCCTGCACAGTCTGATGTGCAACTAGGCGGCGGATGGACTGAAACATGATATCCCAGAGCTGTTCTATTAGATTTAGATCAGGCGAGCATGGGGGCCATTCAATGGTATCAATTCCTTCATCCTCCAGGAACTGTCTGCATACTCCTGCCACATGAGGCCAGGCATTGTCGTGCATCAGAAGGAACCCAGGACCCACTGCATCAGCGTAGGGTCTGACAATGGGTCCAAGGATTTCATCCCGATACTTAATGGCAGTCACAGTGCCATTATCTAGCCTTTAGAGGTCTGTGCGTCCCTCCATGGATTTGCCTCTCAAGACCATCACTGACCCACCACCAAAACAGTCATGCTGAAAGATGTTACAGGCAGCATAACGTTCTCCACAGCTTCTGCAGACCCCTTCATGTCTGTCACATGCCCTCAGGGTGAACCTGCTCTCATCTGTGAAAAGCACATGGCGCTAGTGGCGGACCTGCCAATTCTGGTGTTCAATGGCATATTCCAATCTAGCTCTGTGGTGCCAGGCATTGAGCACAGGGCCCACTAGAGGACGTCAGGCCCTCAGGCCATCCTCATGAAGTCTTTTTCTGATTGTTTGGTCAGAGACACTCACACCAGTGGCCTACTGGAGGTCATTTTATAGGACTCTGGCAGTGCTCATCCTGTTCCTCCTTGCACAAAGGAGCAGATTCCGGTCCTGCTGATGGGTTAAGGACATTCTACAGCCCTGTCTAGCTCTCCTAGAGTAACTGCCTGTCTCCTGGAATCTCCTCCATGCTTTTGAGATTGTGCTGGGAGACACAGCACACCTTTTGGCAATAGCACGTATTGATGTGCAATCGTGGGAAAGTTGGACTGCCTGTGCAACCTCTATAGGGTCCAAGTATCACCAGTAGTGACACTGACCCTAGCCAAATGCAAAACTAATGAAAAGCCTTCAGAAAAGAAAAGTAGGGAGAAAGGCCAGCGGCCTGCACCTGTAAAACCACTCCTGTTTTGGGGGTCATCTCATTGTTGCCCATTTAGTGCACCTGTTTTCATTAACACCAAAGCAGCTGAAATTGAATTACAACCCCCTCTGCTACTTAAATGACCAGATCAATATTCCAGGAGTTTAAATGACTTTATGCTATACTCTGATTAAAAAGTGTTCCTTTAATTTTTTTGAGCAGTGTATATTTAAACTCATTTTATTATTTGTGTGCAAAAATATAATGTAGGCTATCTAGTGGGAGGTTCTGTCAATCACAGCCTGTTTCACATCTCTCCGGCCTATGTCTATTGTTGGTATGTGCTTAGAATTACAGGGATACGAGGTCTTCATCAATCAACATTTAATATCTTGCCCCCATAGTGTACAGCTATTTATTGGGCATGGAGGAGTGGGCTGTCATTTACCCAGAGGGTATATGCTCACGTGTGAGACTATAATCACATGGGAAGCACAGATGAGAAAAAGTAGGAAATGACCAGCTTAGAAGGGAACTGAAACTGCAGCATGCTCAGTAGATGTGGCAATGCCAAGTCTACACAATCTCAGGCTGCAGCGGGGACACCGAAGGAGGGAGGGACAACAAACAGCATGAGCAAAAAATGTGTTTGCAAAATACAGAAAAAGAATCCCATAGTGTCTGAGTGACAATTAACAGCATGTACTGACAGTTTTCAATAATGTGGATGTAATGACACTGATAGATTTGCAGGAGAGCTTGTTCTGTTGAAAAACAGACTTACTGGCTGGATCACCAGGAGATTATAGAAAGAAAGCCTTACAAAAAAAAACTAATGCAGCCATCACATCTAATGACTGGCAAGCTCCAATATTATGCATTATGGTTGTGGCTTCAATACTGCTTTAACGTTTTATGCATGTTATTTTTCTGTTCAAGTGAGATACGGGGTGGAGGAGCTGAGTCTGCACATAGTAATTGGGTACTCCCCAGAAGTGGAAAGGCCATGGCGTTGAAGGAAGGAGGAGGGGGACTAGAGATATGACTCTTGCTAGAGTGGTCACAATTTTCTAGCAAGTTTAAAGGGACATTGCAAGTTAACAGGAAACCTATGGAAAAGAAAACACTGCAAGGAATATTTACTTACCTGTATATTCCATATCTTGCTGTATGGTATGGGACACGGGATTGATTTTCATAGACTTTGGATTATAGGACACTGTCTTCAGGTTATTAGACACTAGGTTTGCTTTTGGACATGTTCCCCTTGAGGGTGCTCCACTATTCCAATGACCACCAATGTGAGGGACACTACAATTTTCACCACTGGTGTTTTTCTGGCAATCATTTTTTCCATTTCATACTGTTATAATTACAACTTACTGAACATGTACTGTGAGCTAGAGATGTTATGTAGCAGGGGTTCCTCAAGACGTGGAAATTATTTTAAGGGTTCCTCTGTATTAACCACTTGCCGACAGCGCTATAGCCGAATGATGGCTACAGCGTGGTCGTCCAGTTCTGGGAGGGTGTCTATTGACGTCCTCCCAGAACCATGCCAGCTGCGGCCCTGCAGCCAGCACTCTTTGTAATCACTGTGTCCTTCAGACACAACTGATCACAAGTTACACTATAGGGCCAAATACAGAGACCCTTTACCACGTCATCAGCTGTGTTCAATGATAACCAGCAAGTGTGAAAGGGGACATCTACACTGATAATCAGAACATTGATTATCAGTGCTGCCCATCAGTGCCGCCTACCAGTGCCCATCAATGCCACCTATCTATCTTAACTAAGAAAAACTTTATTTTTTGCTAAACAAACAAAAGACCAAAACATATTTGAAAAAAAAAAAAAAACAAAACACCCAGTAGTGATTAAATACCAAACAAACCCTATTTGTGTGAAAAAAATAAAAATTTCATATGGGTACAGTGTTGCATGACCGCGCAATTGCAATTCAACATGCGACAGCGCTGAAATCTGAAAACTGGCATGGGCAGAAGGGATAAAAGTGTCTGATATGCAAGTGGTTTTTAAAAGGTTAAGAAAGGCTGCTGTGAACACAATTTTTTTCGAGTGTTAAACGTTTTAGTCCAAATAGGATATTTATACAGCTGCTTGTTTGGGGGAGGGGATTGTAGATTAGGAAGTGCAATTTAATTTGGGTTAATGGCACTTTGTTTCAAACCAAGCCATTTGCAAAACAAGTGGCCCTTGTCACCCATGTTATTTGTTCTGTTATTGGAGCCCTTGTTGGTCTCAATTTGAGCAAATGTGAATGTAAAAAAGGAACATACTACAAGAAAGGGAGTTTAAGGTAGCTGCATGTGCAGACGATTTATTATTCTAGATTTCAAATCCAAGAATAACACTACAAAACATAGAAGAGGAGTTGAGACAGTACAGTGAAGTATCTAACTATCAACGCAATAAAGTCAGAGATCTTAAAGTGTAACCACCTCAGCTAAGGAACAGCAG